GTCCTGTCTGCTCCTCCCCACAGGTGATGACTGAGGTGGAGGGCCAGCTGCTGTCCCCGGTGTGGGCGCTTGAGGACAGGGGGAGCACTTGTGGGGAGCACTGGTGACTTGGAGGGATGGAGGGGGGGGTGGTGGGGGTCAGGACTGAATTTTGAACGCAGACTCTTCTCTTCTCCAGCCTCGTCACCACAGCCTTCAGGTCCTTCAGCTCCTCAGTGGAAGCTCTGTCCTACTCTCCAACACCTGCTGGCTGCTACCAGGGAAAGCCGGACACTGGTGCTTTGGCATGCTCCCAGAGCCCAGCAGCCTGGACTATCCCTATCCCCAGTGCTGAGCACCCACCACCTGCTGGCTGTTCTTTGTCTCCAGCTCCTTTGCCAGGCCCTTCAGGTCCTCCAAGGGTGAGGGTCAGTTAGAAGCCTCCCGAGACGCCCAGATTAAGCAGAAGCTCCTCTCCTCTGCTTTACTTTGTGTCTCCCCAGGATGGTGCTTATCTCAGACATGAAATACTGAAATCATCCTAGGTAAGGGAACAGCGAAATCAAGTAGCATCTTTGCCGACGCTCCAAGAAGCAGCTGCAGTGCTGGCTGTCTCAGCATCACGCGAGTGACCGGAACAAGCCGTCATGATGGAGCTCTGACCACCACGCACTAGTGCAAGCACAGAAACCACTGTCGGCCCCGTTCTGGATCTGTGTAAAGTGTTCCTTTGAAGGCGGGTTTGTCGATCAGCTACACGCACACACACACGAACCCCAAACCCCACAGATCAAGAACAACATCAGTGATTTTTGCATAGTTTGTGTTTATTACACAGCTCTTCCTCCCCCTCCAGAGTGTGAATTCTGAGGACAGGAGTTTCTCAACGCTTAGGGACTAATGGAATTTCTGGACACCTATTGGTCGTGTAATTACATCTTCCGAAAAATAAGATTGGAAATTAAACTAGCCCTAACGAATTGCAGGTGTCCTTTTCTGTAGCTTTACATATTCCCTGGAGATAAAACCCACCACCCCATTCTTCCAACATCTGAGAGAAGAAGATGAATTGAACGAAAATATTTTCCGCCTCGGCAGTAGCCTTTATTTCCATGTCACTTCTTCACCAGGCTTCAGCTCTCTGCAAAAAAACAGAGGAGAGACTAAAATTAGGATATTTTTTGAGGAATAATTACTAATTAATGTAATCAATTACTCTAGAATACCTTAATTTTGAGAGTTATGCATAAATTTAACTTTCCTTGTGATCATTGTCAGTTAAAAATCTTTCAATACTGAGAAGTTTCCTCTTTTTTTCCCAAAGCTTCAGTGGACCGAAACCTTAACTACCTACTACTAATTAGTCCATGCTGTGCAGAGTGATTTTTTTTCTCCTGTTTCATTAACCCTACGGACTAATACAGAATTAGGAGATGTGGCACAGATGAGGCAACGCGTTACGTCATCTAAACCCTCCCCAAGAGGTCAGCTGCGAGCCCAAAGGGGTCAGATTTTATAATTGCACCCCCAGGGAAGATACAGCAGCTGCCGACATAAATATTAATTTCCAAAAGCTTGGTTATTATTTTCAAATGACACAAATTTATAGAAGTATTTAGTTAAAAAGTGCTGTGATCATTTCAAGACAGAAGTTTGCTATAATCCACTGAAAAGCTGAAAATTAAAATTCAAGCCCTGTGTTTCCCACTGAAGTTTTACAGAGAGACAAAACGACGGTTCCCAGGTTGTGGGACACAGAGCTTCTTGGCAGTTAACGACCCTCTAACTCCCGAGGGGGGCGGCTCCCAAAGCCCTGGCTTTTGGGGGGCACTGGTGAACTCAACCCTTCATCTACGCTGGCTGGAGGGTTTAGGGCTTTCTTCCCTTTAATATTTTGACAGCATCACAGATTGTTTTCTCCCCCCCCCCCCACAATTTATTTCGACCCCCCCCCCATACTTAAGTCTCTTAAAAAGAGCTGTGAAGCACTTTGCAGAGCAGCTGAACATCCTGACCTCTGATACAGCAGGCTCTTGTTCCTGAAGGCCGACAGCTTCTCATCGTTCCACCTGTCCAAGTAGCATCCAATCACGAATCCCAAGGGAACAAGGATGTGGACCCAGTGATCACGCACAGCTTGGGCAAAGTTCACCATGGCTGCTGGTGGGAATGGCGGGACACAGCAGAGTTACAATCTGATAAATCCTAACACATCCCTACATGGGAACTGCTGCAGCCTCTAATCCCGCTCAGATCCCACAGCAGCCTAACAACCCAGAGGGCTGTCAGACCCTTCCCGCAGGACACAATGAGCTCACAGGGCACTGGAGCTCCCAAATCTGTGCACAGACCTCCCAGGAATAATCCCGACCAACTCCGGGCCCTGGGAAGCCAGGCTTTATGCCAGCTGGCAGAGAGAGGTACAACATCTCTTCTATGACCTCCCTGGTCACACAGCTCCATGTGAGTGTTCCAGAGTAATTTACCCACGGAAGTAACTCTGATGATACCATCCATGGGTCCCCCCCAACCACATGTCACCTGTGGCCATCCCCTGTCACCCACAGGTTGCCCAGGGATGCCCCACATCACCCACAGATGTCCTACAGTTGCCCCATATCACTTGTGGGTCATCCAAGGCTGCCTCACATCACCCACGGGTGCCCTACAGGCACCCTGTGTCACCCATGGAGGCTCCAGGGATGTCTCACATCACCCAGGGATGCCCCACGTCACCCGTGAGTGCACCCATGGCCATCACAGGCCACCCATGGGTGTCACAGGGACACGCCACATCACCCACGGGTGCCCCCATGGCCAACACAGGTCACCCATGGGTGTCACAGGGACACCTCATGTCCCCTACAGGTGGCCCCATGGCCACCACAGGCGACCCACGGGTGTCACAGGGACACCTCACACCACCCGCGGGTGCCCACGGCCACCTAGGCCGCTGCCCAGGGCTCGGGCCGGCGCTCTCGGCGCTGACGCACGACAGGGCCCTGCCGGCTCCGCCGGGTGCGGAGAAACGCTGCCCCGGGCCCGCCGGGCGA